CTCCCACCCGGGACACTGGGAATGACGGGAACCGCCCTGGGGACATTGGGACCCCCTTGGGGACATTGGGACCCTCCTGGGGACAAGGGGGTGGTCAGGGGAGGGGACAAGGGGACCCTGGGGACATCTGGGGGGTCCTGGCAGCAGGATCTTCCTTCCCCATCCCAATGGAGACCCCGCTCCCACCCGGGACACTGGGAATGACGGGAACCCCCCTGGGGACAATGGGACACCCTTGGGGACATTGGGACCCTCCTGGGGACAAGGGGGTGGCCAGGGGAGGGGACAAGGGGACACTGGGGACATCTGGGGGTGACAGAGGAGGGACAGAGGGGTCCTGGCAGGAGGATCCTCCTTTCCCATCCCAACAGAGACCCCGCTCCCACCTGGGACACTGGGAATGACGGGAACCCCACTGGGGACAATGGGACCCCCTTGGGGACATTGGGACCCTCTTGGGGACAAGGGGGTGGCCAAGGGAGGGGACAAGGGGACACTGGGGACATCTGGGGGGGTCCTGGCAGGGGGATCCTCCCCTTCCCATCCCAACGGAGACCCCGCTCCCACACGGGACACTGGGAATGACGGGAACCCCCCTGGGGACAATGGGACCCCCTTGGGGACATTGGGACCCCCTTGGGGACATGGGACCCCCCTGGGGACAAGGGGGTGGTCAGGGGAGGGGACAAGGGGACAATGGGGATATCTGGGGGTGACAGAGGAGGGACAGAGGGGTCCTGGCAGCAGGATCTTCCTTCCCCTTCCCATCCCAATGGAGACCCCGCTCCCACCCGGGACACTGGGAATGACGGGAACCCCCTTGGGGACATTGGGACGCCCCTGGGGACAAGGGGGTGGCCAGGGGAGGGGACAAGGGGACCCTGGGGACATCTGGGGGGGTCCTGGCAGCAGGATCCTTCCCTTCCCATCCCACTGGAGACCCCACTCCCACCCGGGACACTGGGAATGATGGGAACCCCCCTGGGGACAATGGGACCCCCTTGGGGACATGGGAACCCTCCTGGGGACAAGGGGACAAGGGGACATCTGGGGGTGGCAGAGGAGGGACAGAGGGGTCCTGGCAGTAGGATCCTCCCCTTTCCCATCCCAATGGAGACCCCGCTCCCACCCGGGACACTGGGAATGATGGGAACCCCCCTGGGGACAATGGGACCCCCTTGGGGACACTGGAACCCCCCTGGGGACAATCAAAACCCTCTTGGGGACAAGGGGACACTGGGGACATCTGGGGGGGTCCTGGCAGCAGGATCTTCCTTCCCCTTCCCAATGGAGACCCCGTTCCCACCCGGGACACTGGGAATGACGGGAACCCTCCTGGGGACATTGGGACCCTCTTGGGGACAAGGGGGTGGCCAGGGGAGGGGACAAGGGGACCCTGGGGACATCTGGGGGTGACAGAGGAGGGACAGAGGGGTCCTGGCAGGGGGATCCTCCCCTTCCCATCCCAACGGAGACCCCGCTCCTACCCAGGACACTGGGAATGACGGGAACCCCCTTGGGGACAATGGGACCCTCTTGGGGACAAGGGGGTGGCCAAGGGAGGGGACAAGGGGACACTGGGGACATCTGGGGGGGTCCTGGCAGCAGGATCTTCCTTCCCCTTCCCAATGGAGACCCCGCTCCCACACGGGACACTGGGAATGACGGGAACCCCCCTGGGGACATTGGGACACCCTTGGGGACATTGGGACCCCCTTGGGGACACTGGGACCCCCCTGGGGACACTGGGACCCCCTTGGGGACATTGGAACCCTCCTGGGGACAAGGGGACCCTGGGGACATCTGGGGGTGACAGAGGAGGGATAGAGGGGTCCTGGCAGCAGGATCTTCCTTCCCCTTCCCATCCCAACGGAGACCCCGCTCCCACATGGGACACTGGGAATGATGGGAACCCCCCTGGGGACAATGGGACCCCCTTGGGGACATTGGGACCCTCCTGGGGACAAGGGGACACTGGGGACATCTGGGGGTGACAGAGGAGGGATAGAGGGGTCCTGGCAGGAGGATCTTCCTTCCC